TTCCTGAAAGAGTTAAAGACATCATATTATAGTGATATATGCATACACCTATTTATAACAGCACAATTCATGGAGCACAATTCATAATAGCTAAATCTTGGAAGCAGTTTATATGTCCATCCACTTATAAATGGATAAAGAAAATGTGATATTTATATACAATGGGGTACTAGTCTGCCACTAAGGATAAGCGAGTCATTTGCAAGAAAATGGATGCACCTCAGGACCATAATATTACATGAAATAAACCAGACACACAGGCTTGAACAACGCATGGTTTCTTATACGGGAAGCCCAATATATAAGTGCAAAATAAAAGACACAATAGGGAAGAGACAGAGAGAGAAGAAATGCTATTGTAATCCAGCACAGACGAAAGGGTACCTTGATTTCGCATAATTGTTGGCCTGTTAGTCTGACTGTTCATCTGTATTTATGATAATTAACATGATAAGGACTTATAAAACAAAAAGCATCCGATACTAGCAAAAAAAATGTTAAAAGGGTGGAGGGGAAGGGGAAAAAGGAATTGAGATGTGTTATGTACACGTGTCACCAACTCCCCACACTGAATGTAGTCACTATGTACTGTAAACATAAAATCAAATAAAAATGTACTAATCAAATAAAAATGTTTTAAAAATCTGCTGGCTTCACAAGAACAGGGCCAAGACCTACCCCACCCCACTTCTGGGGCACCAAGAATTGCCCTGAAAACTGGATGGTGAGGAAGAATCCGTACTGCAGAGGCAGTGAGCGGAGCCTCTTTTCACTCAGCCAGACTTATACTACAGTCTGCTACCTACTCACAGCGAGGAGAGCCAGGGATCTGTCCCCCTCTGTCCCCACGCCAACCTTCTGCTGTTGCTGGAGTTACTGGGGATCAAATTCTGGGCCTTTGGTGTATCACACATGCACTCTACTGCCAAGCCCCGCCCCACCCCATCTCCCATTCTTCCTCCCTCCCTTCTTCCTTCTCTTTTTCCTCTTCCTCCTCCTCCTCTTTCAGTACTGGGGATTGGATCCAGCACCTTCACAATGAGCTACATCCTCAATTTTTTTTTTTTTTTAATTTTGAGATAGGGTCTTCCTCAGTTTCTAGTTTGCCCAAGCTGAGCTTGAATTTGTGATCCTCCTGCCTTAGTTTCTCAGCCTGCTTGGATTACAGGTGTGCACCATCACAGCGGCCTGCCATGTTTCTCTACCTTTAACTCAACAAGAGCAACACTTTCTCTTCAAGGGGGAATGACCAGACTCTAGAGAGCTTGTTCAGTTTTTAACAGGACAGTGGTCCCTCAGTCTCTTCAGGGATTAGTTCCAGGATACCCTTTGAATACCCAAATCCATGAATGCTCAAGTCCCTTATATAAACTGGTATAGTATTTTAACGTAACCTACATGTATCCTCTTGTATATATTAAGTCATTTCTAGACTTAAATAGTACTTCTCTGACTTAATACAATGTAAATGCTATAAGCAGTCCTTATGTCGTACTGTTTAGGGAATGCTGACAAGAACAAAGTCTATGCACATTCAGTAGTAAAGATGCAGGTTTTTTCTAAATATTTTCAGTCTGAGGTGGGTTGATCCCTGGACATGGGACCCTCGATTACAAAGGTCTTGACTGTATATTCAACGTGCAAATAACATCACCCTCAGAGGCGCTATGAAGAAGAAGCAGGTACGATGGCGATGGTGTGACGCAGCTAAAGCTCCTGCACGCTGGCGGGACAGAGTGTGCAGCAGCACGGAAGGGGCCTCTGCCGTCACCTGCACTTCTCCCTTCCACAGCCACATTTACCCACGTGCTAAAAAGATACTTACTGCATAGCAGAAGATGCCCCCCCAGCACACTTCAGTCTGTTAGCTGCCCAGGTAATAGTTCCGGTTCTACTTCCTGGCTCCTGTCACTCTTGTTTCTTAGAAACAACTGGTCACTGTGATGCACACTGTAAGAACCAATTCCCAATTGATGAGCCCTCTGCCTTGCACTTCCTGCTTGTTTACCCCACATACGGCCTGGACCACCAGGGACCAGGGCCTGATACTCTGGGAATCATCCTGATCAGTGCCCGTCGATGTAAATAAACCTGCCTCCAATTTCTGAGTGTCATTTCGGTGTTTCTGTTTGCTGTTGTGATTTTTTTTTTTTTTAAATTTTAAAGAGTAAGAGAAGGGTAACAATAATGGGGGGGGGTCACCAAATTACAGACAAAGTGGTAGGAAATTGTCAATGGTTATTGTTTTACATATTGTTATCTACAAGATAGTTTCTCAGGAAAACAAATAGACAAATAATAGTGAGTTACAGACAAAAGAGGTAGGAGATTATCAACAGTCATTGTACTCTACTTAGGTATCTTCAAAAGAAAATAAATAGAACTATACATGAGTGACCTATTGAATAATCATTAACTATTCTCAATGGTTGTTGTAGGAAACACATAATAATAAACATACATCCATTTATGAAATAGGATGGGAACAATACAAACATTACAGAGTTATGGATAGATTAGTAGGAAAATATCAATGACTGCTGTAATACATGTTGGTATCTTCGAAGTGGTTTCTCAGGAAGACAGAGATACGCAAGAAGGATCTAACAAGTAGTTACAGCCTAAGGGTTGTCAAAAATCAAGTGAGCCATCTGGGGGCCAAAGCCATTTTTTGTAGCATTATCTCTCCAGCCTCCCATCACATTGGGACCCCACAACCAGTTAGTGTCCTTTCCCCAACTGTCAGCACAGGCAGCAGGAATCCTGCTGCAGACTTCTCCGGGACTCTACTACAGCCTGTACTGTCAGGGGAAGAATGGCTTCCAGGGAGTCTCCGCAGGTATTGTGCAAGGTCCTCCTGGTTTACAGCTTCCAAGCGGCTCTCATGACCCCAGTCCACAGGACCTCTGATCCCTCGGGCTTAGTCTGCATTCTCATGTTCTCCAAGTCCTTGTTCAGCAGCTGCTCCTCTGCTGACTGTAGACCTTTCTGGTTCTCAATGCAGGAGCAAGAGTGGCCCGTTGTATGGCATGTATTCCCAGGGGTTTTTCCATGTTTGAATGATTCACACACGTCCTTAGGTGGACATCTGCAGCCAGTGCATGGGGGGCCAATTGTGTCATTGTTTCTCTGTGTCATGACAGTTCTCAATTGAGCAGCGGCGGCCGGCCTGAAGGCCGGCACGCCGCAGTGTTCTCAGCCACATGGCTCCCCGTGCGCTGGAGGCCCTCCCTCCCGGGGCCTACGAGGCAAGGAGCGAGCTGCCGGTCAGAACACCGGCACTCCCTGCCCGTGGCTCCCCGTGCGCTGGAGGCCCTTCCTCCGGGGGGCCTATGAGGCAGGAAGTGAGCCAGCCGGAAGACCGGTGCTCCCCCTGCTGTTGTGATTGCACACACATTGTCCACATCAACTGTTCTAGACCCTGGTGACACTGTTTCCCTGGGCTCTTAGGAACGAGAACGAGGTAGACAATAGAAAAGTTAGCAAAGCCATGCCTGAAGACCATAAAAGCAGGTGAAATTAGGGAGAGAACAAGAGCGAGAACGTATGCGCACGGTTTAAGTTGGGTGGCCTGGGACCTCTGAGGTGCACCCGAATCATGAAAAGGAACCAACAACTCAACAGCTGGCAAGGTCAGGTACAGGCAATTCCTTGGCTGGCACCTCTTGCCCCTCTCAAGGCTCATGCTCAATACCCTCGAGAGCCCTGTGCGCACTCTGTGATCACACTGCTTCCGTCTGCTTAGCCACCACTACCTGGCTACCTCTTCTGCTCTTGCTAGAGCCCCACTCCTACCCCGGGCTTGTTCTCCCATCTCCTCTTGGCTCCTGCAGGCTTTGTCTTACCTCTGCCATTATGGCTGACTAGCCCATGCTGGATATCCTTATAGACTGATGAGTCCTGTCACCAAGCGCTTTGTGTAAAGCCCAGCTCTGTGTACAGCCCAGCTCAGAAACCTTCAGTGGTTCCCCAGTGCCTACAGCACCAAGCCCAACCCCCTCAACACGCATGCTCACAGGCCTGCCCATTTCCTGGCCTCACCTCCTGGCCCCTCTATGCTTAGCCCTGGACTTTCTTCATGACACACTGCTCCCCATGGGGTGGTTTTTAAAACGTGTGCTAATTCTTTCACTCTCATCTCTTCAAGAGCTACAGTTTAATTTCCACTCTTGAGGCTGGACCTGTTGACTCCCTTCTAAATAGAATGTAACGAAAAGGACAGTGTGTGGCTTCTGAGACCTAGACCTGACATCCGCGTGGTCTCTTGCCAACAGTCAGCCAAGGCCCGAGGCTTCCCCCAACAGCCACGTGGGGTCTGATCTTGGAAGCCCCAGTCAAGCCTTCAGGTAACGCAGCCTTCCGAGAGACCGCAAGTCTAGACGGCCTACCTATGCTGCTCCTGAGTCCCGGCCCGCAGAAATGATGAGACAATAAACACCTGCTGTTTCAGGCTGCCAGGTTCACTGGTAATTTTTTACGGAGCCATTAATAATGAAGACAGCCCAAACATGTGAACCACTTCTCTGATGATTCTGGGCTTTGCACATGCTCTTCTTTATCTCCAATGCCTCTCATTTGCTGACCTTTCACCACGCACCTCTTCATTCTCTGGGGTCCGAGGGAAATATCACTTCCTCACTGAAACATGGCCTAACGCCATCCCCACCTCTCCACCCGCCCCAGAGTTGGTCCTTGCCCTGTGACTTCACCAACCCTGCACACTGCTCCCTTGCGGCCCTTCCTCCTCCACAATGCCTCAGAGGCCTTTGTGGGCAGCAGGCCAGGCACCCAGAAGGCTTCTTGAAGGTTCCGTCGACTGGCTGGAGAGCCACTGCATAGGGCTTCATTCCAGCGGGATGAGTATAATGAAAGTAAGTATTCTGCAACAAGTATTTAAACCCAGAAGCCTCCATATTTTCCCCCAAATGGCAGGAGAGCACCAGCAGTCATCAGAGGCCCCATCTTACTCTGCTCCAACCAGCTGGGTACAAGAAGCCTACCTGGATCAGAGCAAGTACTTTGTCCTGCACAATGGTGGGAGGGCTGTTCTTGGGAGAGATGATTTTGACCAGGACGCTGTCAATGAAGTCTCGGTTGGCCACCAGGATGTGGAAGCGGTGGCCACAGTTCTTCACACACGTTTCCAGCACCTGGTGGGGAGAGAGGGCGGGAAGTCACCACCGTGGGAGGTGCAGGGGACGCAGGCCCTGCGCAGGCTGAGTCCCCCTCACCGCACCCCGCTCATGCTCCTAGATCACAGAACCAAACCTCCTCAGCACACACATTCCCATGCTCTTAATTCAGCCTTTCCTCCGGGAGGACAGCAGCCGTGCTGACGGAAGGCGCCTGTCCCTGCACAATAATCAGGCAATTAGTTGGTAATTGAGGCACCGGTTTTGCATGAGAAGGATGCTGGTGTTTTAATGGGATCAAAATGACTGAGCAGTCCCTGAAAATTAGCATTTTAACTCCTCTCTCTGGGCCTCTGGGTATGAGGCATTAGCCAATGGGACACAGGCTCTGTCACAGGAGGAGACTGCTGTGACAGCCTGAATTGCCTAGTGAGTTACTGGCCCTTGTGCATGAGGAAGCAAACACACACACACACACACACACACACACACACACACACACCCTTGCTTCTGCAAATAAAACTGGCAGTGACAATGGATCTTCCACCCTTGACAAATGGTTTGTGGGCCTCAGCTGCTACTTGGCTCTAAGGTTCATGTTTGGATCAGGCCCTCCCTCTCCTCCCTTGTCAGGGAGGTACTCAGGCCTCAGCTGCTCAGGAAAGCTGACATATGGGTTCTGATCAAATAGGGCTTGAATTTCCTCCCTGAATAGACCGGTGCAAGTCCCTCTGGGTCTCCATTTCCTCCTCTGGAAGATAGGGATGAGTCTTCCCTTACTGGACTGTTGGGAAGATTAGAGTGAATCTATATAAAGACACTGGCAGTGCCACACGCAACAGGGGTCCAATAGATGACAAGTATGATTATAATATTATAATTCAGAAGTCTGCTGTATGAATTTGAGTACAGGAAGAGCTTCTTCTCCCACAGGAGAGGTGAGAGGCCCCACGGAATTCAGGGGTCCAAGTAGAGCGTATATCCAGTCTTGAATGGAATTCTGTGACCCTCTTAGCTCTCTGGAACCAACCTGATCTGGCCCTTTCCAAAAACCTCTCCCCACCACTGCCACAGTTGGTTAGCTGAGGAATGTCTCCTTGGAGGACCTCCCCAGCAACAGAGGACAGTTCTGACTGCCTTGGTTACTCTCATTTGCCCAAACTCATCTAGCACAGGTCAGCGTATACAGGTACTCCTCAGGGCTGGCTCAGACCATGGGGCTTTACCTTGACAAAGCACGGCCATAAAGTAAGGTCCAGAACTGTGACACTGGCTCAATGCCAGGTACTGCGAGAGCTCCCGCCACATCACATATAATTTCATTTCATTCCCAGAACTGATTAAGTAGATCTTATTACCCACTTTTTAAAGTTAAGAGGTTTAGAAAGGGAAAGAGACTGGCCTAGTAGCAACTGCAGGACAATGGCAGAGGCAGGACTGAAACTCTCATCGGCCTTCTCAGGAGGCCGGGTCCTCCCACCCATCTGAGGGCGCTGGGCTGCTTCTCCCTTACCGTGTTTCTCTACGAGCCACCTCAGTGGAGAGCCCCATAGACAGCAGGCATCATGTACTAGATTCTTTTGCCCCTTGTATGTTCCTTGAAAGAATCCTGTAAAGTATGACCGCTTTGGGGGGATGAGGAAGCTGAGGCTCAAAGGTGCCACGTAACTTAAGCTAGGATGCCAGGGTCAGGGTGTCCCACACCTGGCAGCTCAGCGTCAGTCAGAAGCACTCTCTTCCCCACTGCTGCCTGCGCCTCCGGAGATGCCACACTCCACTCAGCTTGCCCAGGACTCCAAGCTGACCATCCTCAGGGCCTCTGAGTCACTACAGGCTTAACTCAGCCAAGGAGGCTTTTCCATTTCTTAGTCTCTGCTTGTGCCTGATTCTGGATAACCAGGAGATGACAAGCATTCGTATTCTCTTAGTGACCTATAGGGGTTATTGAGAGGAAGCAGAGAGGTTTTTCCTGCCTTCAAGTAGCTTATAGGGCCCCCTTTCTCTAGGATTCTCTAAATCTGCCTCCTGACTGACGCAGTGATTGCTGGCCAAGGCCAGTGGCAGGAAGGACACTTATTTCATGAGGGGTAGAAAGGACGGGTAGGGCAGAAGGCCAGGGGAGCAGGCTTGAGTGGGAAAACTGAAAGCAGAGGGGTGGGGTACGGGCAGGTGGCAGGGCAGCTGGAGCCCCAATTCCACTACCAGGCCGCCTTTCTAGCCTTTAGGGAGCAAGTCCTTCAGCCCCAGACAGCGGATGCCAGGTCAGTGTGCCCCAGCCTGGCCTTGGAAATGACCTGGGCAGAGTTGCATGTCCTACAGAGCAGGCCAATACCCATCCAAGCAGGAGATGCAGGAGGCCTTCCTTGGGTTGGCAAGGGCCGCTTTAAGCCACTCTGCCTTTTAGAAAAGGTTCCTGGCAAATCCGTCCCTGTGGGTTTTAGGGCATGAAACACACAGTGGTAATTTTCTGAGATGTAGTCAAAGCCCAGGGAGTAAGTGGGGCCTCTAAGCAATCAGAAGCAGATGTTTCAACCACAGACATGAAAGTTCAAGTAGACAAGACTTTCAGGGTTTCTAACTCCTGCTTTGGATAAATATTAGCAATCTTTGTGGGGAAACACGAAACTAGGGAAGGGCCACAAGAAGCAAGAGGACTGAGAGCAACCGACAGGGTACGGGAACCATCGAAGAGCAGACACAAGGCCATGCACAGCGTGCCTGGCAGGGCCTGGGGTACGGGGACAACGGCTGTGTCCCAAAGGCATCACTGGACCTGGGACGGGAATCAGGAAGAGCAGATGATGCGCACCGTCCCTGCCGCAGTAAGGCAGATGCTCATTCGAGACAGTTAGCGCGAAGCCAGGCGCACACAGGGAGAAGCGTCAGACACCGGGGAAACGCCCTGACACGTCACAGCTCATTTCCCAGGGATTCGAGTCATTCAGAACCACATACTTTGGGCATTACTCCGGGTTTAGTGAACACTGTGGCTCAAATTCTGGGAAAAAGATAAAAGCTTTCAACTCTTTATTTTTCAACTTGCCTTTTCTCCTTTAATATTCAAATCCCAATTCCCCGGCAGACAGAACTCTCCTAATAAGTTCTGAGTTTTTACTTGGGTAAAAAAATCCAGTTTCTCTGCTTTAAAGGGAAGCATGTTATGACTGTTTTGGATAAATAACCCACTATTTGAAACCCACAGAGAAGTGGCCACGCTGACCTGTTACAGTTTCTATTATAAGCACTCACTGTGGCCCAGATTTCGCCACATCTGAACATCTGCTCGCTTTCAAGACAGAAATAGCACCTGTGTCTCTCTTTTAATTTTCTGACATCTTAAGAAGGGCAAAATCTGGTCTGTTTGTCCTGAGTCACTCGGCTAACTTTTTCAAGAGCCTCTGCAGCTATTTTCAGCTTCTACCCAAACAAAAGATCACTTTATGATGGCAACCCACGGCGCGGCACCTTACTAGCTCTGACGACTGTTCCACCTCTCCACCTCTCCATCTCCGTGAGCCTGTCTCTTTATCCGCATGAGGGGGGTAATGAAACCCATTTTGGAAAGTGGTTATACACATCAACATCTGAAAAGCTTACCACAGTCTGGGGCAAGAACTAGGTAGGAGGGAGTGAACATTTTCATAGAGAAGGAACTGACACCAAGAGTCTCAGAGCAGGCTGGCTGGCAGCAAGGGCCACCCCGCCTCTGGCTCCTCCCCTCTGGGATTCTCCACGGGGCCGTGCCACCCAGCGTGACTACGCATACATTTACCGAACAGGAGTTTGCCCCTGCTTCAGAGGACAGCAGGGAAACCCGGGGCTGCGTGACCAGAAGGTCACGCGCAACTCCAGCGGCACTGGCCCACAGCCCTCTGCAGGCTGAGCCACGTGGGCAGAGGGAAGGCCTGAGAGTGGGGCGAGGCCACAGCACGAGGCTCCGTCTCCCCGCCAGGCAGAGCAGCACTTACCGTCAGGGCCAGCATCACTTCCCTGTAGTTCCGGTTTCCACTGAGCCGCTTTTTCAGGGCGCGAATGGCATCCTTTGGCCTGGAGAAAGAGACAGACATATTACAGTCCTCACAAGTCCACTTTGGGGCCCCAGTCCGTTCCCACTGTATCAGCTAGCACACATACAAGGTTATTCACTGCAGCATGTTGATAAATGTAAAGACAGGAAAACAAACAGAGTGGTCACCAAAAGGGAACAGGTTCGATTGCATCACGGCTCATCCGCCTGAAGGAATAGTATGCAGCTGCAGAAAAGGATTATGCATTGTTATGGTCCCAGATTTAAAGATGCGTGCATAAAATCACTGTAGAAGAGCGCATAAGAGATGTTACTATTTGCGTGCCAAAAGGACAGTAAACACTTTACACATCACGTGCCTGTGGCAGTGAGACAGTCTCTAGAGGGAGCCATAAGAACCTGGTAACAAAGCGGCCCCTCAGCAAGGAAACCAGATGGCAGAGGGGGAGGGAGGTTTTTCACTGCACTGCCTCTTTGCGGACCTTTTGGATTTTGTATCCTACGCCAGTGTTATCTGCTCAAAACAGAAACTACATCACGAGTGCGGCGCTGGCAAACCTGTGGCACGTGGGTTTTTTTTTAAGATAAAAAGATGTTCTTCCAGAGAAACCACAGCAGAGATGTGGACGACAGAATGGCCAGGAACACGCTGAGGCCTGGGTGTTCCACTCTTGCTGGGCTCCATGGAATTCCAGAGAAATCTTTAGTGCGTCTCCTCGAAACCATTAGGTAACACTGTATATCTGATGCGGATTCCCATGGGAAACCTTGCAGCATTACAGCAGCCCTCCATTTATAAACAGGCCCTGTTCAAGAACTTGTTCCTAAGCTGAAGGTCTGGACTTGCAGTGAGTTCTTCCTAAAATTCCTGTTATACCTAAAACTTAGGATTCTGAGCCAACCCTCCAATCACACCTATTACGTGGACCTTTAACAGGTTTTAAAATTTATTCTACTAAGGATTCAATAAAGTTGTGGACTCAGAGCTGCCTTGGCCTGATGCCCTGTCCCTTCCGCCCCCTCTCACTGTGTCCCAGCAGAACTCCTACCTGGCCACAGGCCTCTCCTTTGCTGTCACAAGTGGGCTCTAGCTTTCCACTAAGGATGTGACGCTGTATCTCAGTCTTTCCTAGGCTGAATGACATCTGGGACTTCCTATTCCTGAAATTCTAAATGTTTTTACTCTATTTATCAAATGAAAACATCCTTTCAGATGTGTGTGAGGACGCAGGGGGAGGGAAAGATGGAAGCTCTGCTAATCAGTCTAATTCAGAGAGAAAGACACAGTAAGTTGGAAGGCAAGCAAAGCTTCTGGAAGAAATTTTTAAAACCCCAAACCCCCTATTTACCATTCCCGACTTGAAACATAACCACCCCGCGGGAATTCTTGGCTCCTCCGTCAAAGGACTGACGAACAGGGATGTGCCTTGGCTAAGCTGTTTGCAGAATGGCTGCAGCTTCCAAACAGGGATGCTGATTCCTGCAAATCTGGGACCCGGGTGGCACTCTGCTCTGATGGGCTGGGCTGGTGAAAGTCAGCAGTTACCTGCCAAGAACATGAACTGATTTCCTCTCTCAAGGGATCTGCCAGCACGCAGTCATCCCAGACCCGCAGCGGCCGGCCTCTCGGCCCAGCCTCTTCCCTCCCCTCCTGGAAAGGAGGAAGAAGAACATGGCCACAGCCTCAGAGGCCAGGGGCACTGGTACTAGCAGGCCCGGTGTGCCCAGTCCTTTGGGGTGTGGGGCAAGCAGGCAGACCACAGGCTCTTAGTTACATTTAAACTGAAAACTCATCCCCACGCTGCAGGAGCACAATAGCATATATTTATGTCTGTCCTCAGGGGAGAAGACTCAGAGAGGGGCACAGGGTGAAGTCAGAGGAACTGCAAAATTTCAAGGAGCTGCCACAGATTAGGCAGCTGGAGCCGGAACCCGGACAGGGCAGAGGTATCGAGTGAGGCCCAAGATGGAGAAGGCAAGAAGGATTAGAAGGATACGGCATGTGTGAGGCACCACACTCTGGCAGCTCTCAGTGCAAAGGCCAGGCCCCAAGGGACCGTCCGCAGGCTTCAAGCTCTTGCGTCTACAGCCTCTTCTGACTCCCTCCGGACTCACACTCCAGACAGCCCCCTCTTTCCAGTCACAGCAAGTTCTCCACTGGGCCCTGTAGCCTTGAAACTTCTTTGTTCTTCGCTGCTTTTCTGAGCAGCTTTTCCACCCTTACCCGCTCCTACAGACACAGCTGCCCCTCCTCCACAGACCTCACTGCCTCAGCAATGATCCTGCTCTACTGTGTTTACCAGTTCGCCCTCCAGCTCAGAGGCTGCAGCACACACAAAGATTCATCGAGCGGGGGAACAGCAGAGATGGTCATGAAAACGGTCCGGGTCAGCGGATCCTCATCGGAGATGCAGACCAGAATCACCTGGGGAACAATTCTCAAATCCACATGTGTGCGCCCTAATTAGGTGGGTCTGGGTGAACCCTGGTAAACGGGGTCTCAAACACTCCCGGGTGGGTTATTCAGCCAGACAACTCACAGCTGCTGAGCGTGGAACTATCACACAAGGCCGTGGTGTCAGCAGTCCTCATGCAGGAAGTGACTCCAGGCCTGGACACTGGGGAAAGCCCCGGAGAGGGCTGTGAGGGGCACACCAATCTGTGCCCACAGCCTCCCACAGAAAAAACTGCATACACAGGAAGGGCAGGCAGAGCTTCGGTGGCTGGGGCCAGGTGAGCCTGGACTTGAACCCTGCATGTTCTCCTCTGACTGTGCTGTGAAGTCTTCGGCAAATGACTAAGTCACTTTGGGCCCCAGTTTCTTTACTACTAAACAGGCTGTCCTTACCTTACACGCTTGTTGGTGTGTGTGTGTGTGTGTGTGTGTATGAGACGCTATCCAGGGCTGGGCACACTGCAAGTGCTCAGAGAATGGCAGACAGGGCCAGGACAGTGAAGCCACAGAGGTCACTCCCTAGGACTGGCCGGGTAACTGGCAGCATAGATGAAAGTGATGGTGATAGCTATGGGCAATGGACATCATGAACACGTTCCTGCTGGCTTGAACCACGGATGGTACACAATGGCTGTCCATCGTGGGGTGGCTCGTACCAGCGGCAGCTCAGGGCTGTCTGCTGTGAGACATACACATTACGATCCCGAAGTGAACATGTTAAAGGGTAGACAGCAAATCCACGTACGTAGCACAGCCTGGGTGATGAACGCTTCCCAAAGGCCCGTGTATTGAAGGCTTAGTGCCCAGCCTGTGGCAACGCTAGGAGGTAGAAAGGCTTTAGGAGGTGGGGCCTAGAGAAAGGAAGCGAGGTATGGAGGTGCTCTTGAAGGAGATACAGGGGCCCCAGCCCCTTCTTGTCGTTTTCTGCTGCCCAGCCTCCATGAGCTGAACAGCTTCCTCTGCGGTGATGTGCTGCCCCACGACCGGTCAATGGACCACACACCACATCCTCCACAACTGTTCGTCAAAATAAGCCTTTCCTCTTCTTAAACCGATTGTCTCAGGTGTTTGCATAGCAATGGAAACGTAACACACACAGATGTGTAACCTATTTATGTATCACTTTACAATGTATTTGCTCTTTTAACCTTACAACAACCCTATGAGAGAGCTACTATTGGTAGCTCCATTTTCTAAAGGAGGAAAGTAGCCAGGCATGGTGGCACATGCCTGTAATCAGAGGATTACCACAAGTTGGAGGCCAACCTGGGCTATACAGTGAGAACCTGTCTTTTTGTTTGTTTGACTGTTTTTCCAGTACCGGGAATTGAACTCACGACCTTGCGCTTGCCAGGCAGGCGCAGTGCCACTGAGCTAAATCCCCAGTCCAAGACCCTGTCTTGAAAAGAAAGAAGGAAGCTGGGTGTGATGGTACACATCTGTAATCCCAGCACTCAAGAGGCTGAGGCAGGAGGATCGTCACAAGTTCAAGCCAGCCCCCGGGCTACACAGTGAGTTCAAGGACAGCCTGAACTACATAGCAAGACCCTGTCTCAAAACAAAATAAAAATAAAAAAAAGAAAGAGAGAAAGAAACCTGTATGTATAACATATGTAACATAACCTGTATGTATGTATAACGTATGTAACATAACCTGTATGTATGTAAACCTGTCTGTATAACACACAGCCATAGGACAGTGAGCAGCGATCTAGGCTTCCAACATGGGCAGATGGCTCGGGCTCTGAACACTAATTATGCTGACTTCCCAGCTCCAGGTTCTACCCTCCCCCATCATTCATCTCCTTCCCTGACTGATGCACTGGGGTCCTAGGTCTTGGAAGACTCCACTGAGTGTCACCTCCTCCAAGAAGGCTTTGCTGCTGGCAGCCCCAGGGCTGGCTGCTGACCACTGGACACTGGGTTAGCCCGTCTCTGTAGCTATATAGCGCCCTTCTCTCTCCCTCCCTTCCCCCGTGTCTCACCCTCACTCTCCGTTTCAGCCCCGTTATGATCATGTTTACATGCCTGCATTCCTCATCAGACCGTGAGGGCCTCTGGGACTTCATTTGTTCACTTAACAAATACTTATCAAGAACCAATTATGTGCACTCTGTGCTCGGTGCTGGGGATAAAATGGTGAGCAAAACAGATGGAACCCACAGACTGGAGTTTCAGGGTAACACAGACCCTAACAGACATCACACAGACGAGCCTCAGCGTGATACTGGGTATTGTGAAATCACACAGAGGACCTATGCAAACTGGTAGGGAAGAGGTCAGGAAAATGAGATCTAAATCAAGATCTACTGAATGATGGGGCCCACTTGGAGAAAGAGATGGGCCAGAATCCCCCCAGCAAGGGCTGAGAAGGACTGGACGGGGCACCCTGCCAGGAGCCCAACTTGTGGGCTTTTCCTCCCATCTGGGAAGGAAGTTAGACACTTACCTCACAGAAGAAACACACACATAAATTCCTCAAGAATCACAGTGCTATGAATATCCGGGGAAGGTGTGACTAGGTCTTCCTCGAGGTGCTGACTGAGAAAGCAGCTCACCAGCCCTGGCGGACTCTGGACGGGGTAAGGTCCCAGGGTTTCTGGACCTCCTGCCCTGAGTCACAATGGTATTAGAGCAATTCCCTGTGTGTCCACCCATTTAGGTCTTTGTCATGCCACCCCGAGGCCCACTTCTCCTCCTGCCAGCCTCAGCGCCCCTGCCTGAGGCCAGCCCCTCCAGGAAGCAGCTGCACCTGCCTTGCCCTCTGCACCCACAGCGCTGAGTACAGGCCTCGGCGACAGGCCCAGCCAGTGTTCCCAGGTCAGCCTCCAGGAGAGACCGGCACACCGACCTTGGGATCCTGAGAGGCTCCCCCACCCCTATAGAGGCCAAAGGCCACTGGATATCTGAACAAACAAGCAAATGATGGCATCTGAGAGGGACGCAAGGAAGAAAGGAACCCAGGAAGGTGTGACGGGAGATGGGCTGAGCCCAGCGTTTACAGTACAGACATGGGTTGCGAAGGCCACCCCCACTCTGGAACCACCTGTACTGCCATCGGGGAGTTCGGATCTGGTCCTGGTCTCCGCCCTCAGTCTGCTCTACCTCAGGAGGCAGCAGCTCCATCCATGGCTCTGCAGGCTCCGAACCTTGCCGTTATCCTGACTCTGCCTTTACCCCGCATCAGCACATTCCATGGTTTGCACCTTCACCCGGCCAGTCTGCATTGACTTCTCTCTCCCGCCCTCCCCCACCACTGCCTTGGGTAAGCCCACCGTCATCTCACACCAGGAGAGCCAACGTGATAACCCACTGGTCTGGCTGCTCTTTGGCCAGACATCAGCCAGGCCATTCCGATCACAGTGGACAGTGACTGTTTAATGTCAGAGCACGGCTCTTTCTTGCTCTAGTCTCTGCGCCTTCTCCTCTCACCTGAAGCTGAAGCTACAGTGACCTCGGTGCCTACGCAGCTGTTATGCTTTGTGTCTACATGTCCCCTCAACACCTCATGCGGTCATACCATTTTTTCAGAGATGGCTGAACCTGGAGTGTGTGACTGATTCGCAGTGTAGTGTTGGCATTAAGGGTGCTGGGACGAAGGGTGGGTGACTGCTGGATCAGCCCTTGATTGGACTGGAACCACCCTCATCCCGGTAGACTGGATACAATATAAGGGACAGAAGGAGACTTCTCTCGCTCTCTCACTGTTTTTGCTGTTTTCTGCCGCCACAAACTGTTGCCCTCTGCCATGGGCCAACCTGCCTTGGAGCCAGCTGATTATGGACTGAAACCTCCACAAACTGTGAGCTAAATGAACCTTTCCCCCTTCAGCTCTGGGTGTCAGGTATTTTGTCTCAGCAACAAGAAAAGTAACCGAGGGGCCGGGGATTTAGCTGAGCGGCAAAAGCGCTTGCCTGGCAAGCGCAAGGTCGTGAGTTCGGTTCCCGGTAACGGAGAAAAAACAAAAAAAAAAAAAGAAAAGTAACCGAGACAGTGACCTCATCTCCAGGTACCCTCTTCCCCGGTCACTCCACTTTGGGCCCACTGGCACCAAACATACCAATACCCTCTGTCCCAGGACTTCCCAGCTTGCTGTTTCTTCTACCTGGACGGTTCTTCTTTTGAATAATCCTCACTTCACTTCTTCTCCTTAAAATCTCTGTACAATGTCATCTTCTCCAGGAGACTTTCCTTTCCTACTCTGTTTAAAATTTCTAATTCCCAACCTCTGTCTTGCCACTCCCACCATAGTCTGTCCCTATCTGACCAGCTTTTTTTTTTTTTTTTTGTACCGGGAATCAAACTCACGACCTCACATTTGCCAGGCAGGCACCGTGCCGCTGAGCTACCTCCCCGGCCTTCAGCTTACGTGTTTCAATTATCTAGTTCACAGCCTGCCTCCCCACTCTGGTCTGGCATCTCTCAGAAGGAAGGGCCTCTGCCTTGCTCCGTACACACAACAGGGCCTGCACCAAGGCAGTCCCTTCAGATGAGCAAGGCCAGTGAGTGACAGTATCCGGGCCTCAGCTGCTTTCTTCACTGCTCGGGCTGCAGAGGGCACGATGACGGTAAACAGTGTTTAGGGGGTGAACAGAGTGCTACATACAGACCAGCTTGGGAGAAGATGAATACAGTAACGCTACACTGTAGAGAAGGACACAGTAAGTGCCGACCATCGCAACAAAGCAGTGGGGCAGACTGCCAGGCGCCATAAGCTAAGAAAACCAGCGAACAAACCAACCCAGCTGCTCTGGGCTATGGTCCCTTTCTCACTCCCTAAGCCGTGTGACCTGGCCCTCCTTCCACACGCACGGTAGTGCCTGCTCCTGGGGCTCCTGTCCAGCAAGCCAGGTGAATGTCTGTTAAGGGGAGGCAGCGTCCAGGCAGCAGAGGTGACAGTTTGGCTGCAGAAATGAATGGCCTCTGGGAGCCAGGTAACCAAAAAGCCTCCACCTGTGAGTCAAGGCAGGCGGTCAGAAGAGGCTGTCACTGCTTCAACTCAAGACCACGATGGGGGAGAGATGGACAGGAAGAGGACAAACCATTCAGAGTGCCAGTTTATTAAATATCAGGTGAATAAACTAAGAAGAAAACAAAGTCAAACATGCCACCCTTGAGTCCCGCCAAGCTTTGAGCGGACCCCCGGAGCAGGATGGTGGGGAACGTACCCTTCCTCCGTCTCATTGATGATGTCGCAGATCTCCATGTTCAACGTCCAGTCTTCACTCTGCAAGGAGCCATCTGTTGCCTTTTCTGTGAAATCAGAGAGAAAAACCGGTTTGCATGTCTCTGGGAGCAATGGGCCCTGCAAGAAATGAGAAGTGACCAAAACCTCTACATGCTCTGCCCGAACAGACGGGCTGAGCCCGGAGGGCTGATCTGGGGACGCTGTTTCCCAAGGAAGAACCGTGTGCTGACATCACGTGATGGGCTGCCCCTCTCCAACGCCAGACTGAAAAGCTTGCCATGGGCCTGAGCCATCACAGTCACCTAACAGGCGAGAAGGCTAAGTTTATGAGCCCACAGGCTGTGGACCAAACCACCTAGGTTTTTGTTGTTGTTATTTTTCAGTTTTTTGTTTTTTTGGTCTTTTTGAGACAGGGTCTCGCTGTGCAGTTTAGGCTGGTCTTAAACTCACTTTGTAGCCCAGGCTGGCCTCGAACTCACAACCATCTTCCTGCCTCAGCCTCCCGAGTGCTGGGATTACAGGTGTGCACCACCACGCCCAGCTAAACCACCTAGGTTTGAATCAGGCTCAACCACTTACTAGTTGTGTGGCCTTAGGCATATTACTTAACCTTTAGGTACCAAATTGAGTGAAAACTACAGTAACTACCCCATAGTACTGTAAGGAACATTAAATGGATTAATATATAAAACATTCAGAACACAGCCTAGCATTCAGATAGTCCTCTGAAGGTATTTGCTGCCATAACTATTAAAAATCAACTTTAG